ACTAAGGAATTGGAATAGTTTTATTTTTCAAATATTTCTGTTGCCATGGGAACAGGAATCCATAGCAACAAATGAAATAATCACCAATTTCTGTTTGCAGACGCATTTCTGCATGACTGTAAAAAAAATTCAAGTTCATATACCTGGCAAAACTATTTTTATGCATAAATAGAATTTCTATTCAAAAGGAGATTTATTGGCCTTTTTGAACAAATATTGGGTTTTTTGAAAATTGAAAAAAATGATGTTTGGACAAATATATTTTTCTAGAGTTTTTATGTATCAAAAGGCACATTATAAATAACAAAATTCCACTGAATAATTTCTGTTGCAATTTGTTTAAGGTTTGGGTGTTTTTGAGCTAGATTGACTGGACTAATCCTAAAAATTTGACCTTTGCATTCTTTTTTAAAGACGATACGCGGTCTCTTGGGAAAATATTGAAACATTTACTTAAACTTCAAAAAGGACACAGATAAATTCATAAAAACAATTCGTCAACACGTCATTAAGAGCAAATTGAACAAATGTTCAAAAGTTCCGGCGAAATTATAAATATGCATATGTCTACTGACATCAACAACAAAGCAGCATCACTCTTAATTCTAACGTCATGTCAGCCGGCGATGTTATCGTACGTGTAGCGATCAAGACTCGTTTACTCTTCTATCTCTGTTATCGAATATTACATTCCAGAAATCAAACTGTCTCTTTTCTAAAACGAGGTAAATGATTGACAAACAAGTTGAAGAAACAAGAATATCAGCCGTCTCTTACAAAGTCTTTTTCATACTAGTTGTTAGCCCATTTTTACACACTGCGCAGTAATGTTAAGGCTTCCTGGAGCTTTAACTGCTTTTTATAACGTAACCATGCATTTCAAAGTTTATTTTTTTGAATTCTTAAGATATGTAACTAAGTACACCAAATTCATATAGAGACTTCTCTAGGCTAAAAATAAAATATTTGTTACGAAATCACATGACCTCGTTGATCAGATGGAGGTCATTTTACTTTTTTGAAGTGTTTCACATAAATCGCTTAGGCGCAGCTGATTAACACAATTCGTTGCATCCTTGTGAACCCGAAATGTGCTGAAACTGTCCCTCAGGTACAAATATTTCATAATAACTTCAACGTTCCGATAAATGTGTGGGTATGTTCCGCTCAATATCGACATCCGTTTTAAAACAAAGCCATCATACATTTTTTCCCAAGCAAGATTCAGTAAGGGGGGGGGGGAACTCCTGTTACATATTTCCAGAAAAGATATTAAATAAATTCTTATTAATCTTCTGCTCCATGCTCTTTTATACACATATCATGAATTCTGCTTCTATCCACTGGTATAAAAAGGATAAATGTGAAACGCATATTTTCATACGTATTTTGAACACGCAGACTCTTAAACAAGAGTAAAGTGTAATCAAGCAAAGTTATCTAAATTATTCGGATATATTTATTTAGATATTTTTAAAAAAATCTAAGCACATTTATTTTAAACTAGCTTTCAGACTCTTTATATGCAGATTGGAATTAGGTGTAAGTAAGTTTATAAAACTCGACCATCATTACAGCTCCATTTTGTTATGACTTGACGAAGATACAAAATAAATTAGCACTACCAGGTATATTGAATTGCGAAACTTCATAAGAATCCTTACAAATAAAGATACATTACGGGTTCTAGTACATGTTCAAACAAACCTCTTCACTCCTCACTAAGATATTGACAGTAGTGAAGGAAAAAACTTCAAGAGTACTGTGCAACAATATATTCATAAAGTGGTGTGAATCAGATGTGGATGCTAAAAAATTCAACAAAGAACTTTTGTACAATTTGAACTTTTCAACTTTATACACAACCATTCCCAACGATAAATTAAAGTCCAGGCTTTTTGATATCATTGACAGCTGCTTTTCAAATAAAAATGGAACTCGTATATTTAGCTCACCTGAGCTGAAAGCTCAAGTGAGCTTTTCTGATCACATTTTGTCTGTAGTCCGTCTGTCCTTCTGTCCGTCCGTCTGTCTGTAAACTTTTCACATTTTCGACTTCTTCTCAAGAACCACTGGGCCAATTTGAACGAAACTTTCCACAAAGCAACCTCGGGTAAAGGGGATTCAAATTTGTACAAATGAAGGGCCAAGCCCTCTTCCAAGGGGAGATAATTATGAATTAATGACAAATTAATGGTATCTTTTAAAAATCTTCTTCTCCAGAACCACTGGGCCAGGAAAGATGAAACTCATGTGGAAGCATCCTCAGGTAGTGTAGATTCAAATTTTTTCAAATCATGACCCCGGGGGTAGGGCGGGGCCACAATGGCCGACCAAAGTTTTACATTGAAATAGATAGAAAAATTCTTTAAAAATCTTCTCAAGAATGACAAAGCAATAATTGATCATATTTATATGGCAGCATCCTCAGGTAGTGTAGATTCAAGTTTGTTCAAATCATGACCCCCGGGGGTAGGGTGGGGCCAAAATGGCCGACCAAAGTTTTACATAGAAATATATAGGAAAATTCTTTAAAAATTTTCTTCTCAAGAATGACAAAACCATAATTGATCATATTTATATGGAAGCATCCTCAGGTAGTGTAGATTCAGGTTTTTTCAAATCATGACCCCAGGGGGTAGGACGGGGCCAAAATGACCGACCAAAGTTTTACATAGAAATAGATAGGAAAATTCTTTAAAAATCTTCTTCTCAAGAATGAAAAAGCAATAATTGACCATATTTATATGGAAGCATCCTCAGGTAGTGTAGATTCAAGTTTGTTCAAATCATGACCCCCGGGGGTAGGGCGGGGCCACAATGACCGACCAAAGTTTTACATAGAAATATATAGAAATTTTTTTTAAAAATCTTCTTCTCAAGAATAGCAAAGCCTTGATTAGTCATGGGACTACTTTTTGATTTAAGCTTTTCAATAATAAACCAATATCTACTTTTTCCTAGCCACAGTGTTTAGGTGAGCGATGTGGCCCATGGGCCTCTTGTTACTTACCTGGTCACTGGTCATCTGAAAAATTATTTTGTTATTACACATTCTGATTGCACACACAAGTACTCTGAAGTTGAAATCAAAAAGATGTATGAATTTCTGACTGACAATATCTATGTGGTTTTTTTTTTTTGGAAACTAGATCTTCCAACAATCTATTGGAATCCCCATAGGTACTAATTGCGCTGTGTAATAAACAGACCTGCAAAATCTTATGCATGAAAAGAAGAAAACACTTGTTGTGGCCTTCAACTTGACATTGAGATATATCAACGACGTATTGTTAATTAATAATGGAAAATTCCATTTCTATGTCGAAACGATATATACCCTGGTAAGCTTGAGATAAAAGATACCACAGAGTCTGACACAGTCTGACACATCTGTTTCATACTTGGATATTTTACTTGAAAAAGGCATTCATGGTCAATTTAACAACCATGCTCTATAATAAACGTGATGACTTTAACTTTTCAATCGTCAACTTCCCTTACTTATGCAGCAATATACCTTCATCACCTATATAGAGTATTTTATACACAAGAGCATGCTCTACTACGAACAAGTTCTAAAACAAGGAAAATTATTGACACCCAAGTTGATGAAACAAGAATATCAGCAGTCTCGTTCAAAGTCATCATTTCGTAAATTCCAAGGTCGATACAATGACCTTTTTAGCAATTACAATTTATCATTGAGTCAAATTCTGACTGCCTTTTTTCAAACTAATTGTTAGCCTATTGCTTATACACTGAATGACGACGGATTTTCCGTTTCTCCCCATAATGACAAAGAGCACAAGGCGGGTGTGACTGGTTGGCAGGTGATGCTCAATCCTCCATGGCACCTGATCCCACCTCTGATGTTTCAAATATTTGTAGTCTAGAGAAGTGAATGCACAGAGTACACTGCAATATTTTCTGGGAAGCCTTATCGTACCTGCGTGAATTGATGCTGATTTTTCTGTTATCTCTATTACGACAAGGAGTAAACGGCCGGAGTGACAAGTTGGCAGGGGATGCTCACTCCTCCATGGCACCTGATTCCACGTCTGATGTTTCAGACGTTCATGTTTACACTGCACCTATTTTGTATTGTTTATTGGACTTTAGAACTTGAATATTTTTAGTTATCTCCATATATTTCACGATTCTTTGTTATTAAATTAAAAATATATATTGTTACTACCTCGATGTAAAATATTTAATTGTCATATACAGGTGATTTAGCATCACGAAGTACGATTTATGCAACGCGGGTCAACGTTATTTAGTCTATGATAATGGTCATAGATGGTCGCCGAAGGCTTTTTTTTTTACTCTGGTTGAATTATTTGTAAGGGAAAAAACAACACCGATGAAAAAAACCTTTAACATGTTTTTCCCCTTTGTTATTGTTCTGGAAAAGAGGTCTAAAATGCACTACACAAAACTTAAGAAATATTTGCTGCGCCTCCATGACGCCAAAATCCATTTTATCGTCTTTTCAGAATTGTTTTATGGCGCAGATTTTTTTTTTAAATCTCCCTTTTTCTAACTTAATTTTAACAAGCTTGCACAACATGAAGTCAAAATCACAATGAAAAAATTATATGCATGAATCAAAATTTTTATGTATATAATTTTTCAATGTGATTTTGACTTCATGTTGTGCAACCTTGTTAAAATTTAAGTTAAAAAAAGGGAGATTATTATAAAAAAAATTCTGCGCGATAGTTTGAATAATTGCATACATATACGATATCGGATACCGTGACTGTGCTGCGTACATTAAAAAGTTTATAAACAATTGAAAGAAAAGAAATAAAATATTTGTAAAATCTTCTTTGCTTTTACATAATTTCTTTGTGTTTTTCAAAAGTATATGCAACTTTTTACCGAAAGACACTCAGTTAAAGGGAAAATATACATAATGTCTCAATAATTTCCAAACAACCCTCGTAATGATTTAGATCATGGTTCAAAGGACTTGTTTAGTAGTTCATGCTTACCATGGCCATCGCTTCTGGTATAAAGAATAACATTCTTCACAATACTTAGTGTTCCTAGGTCTTCAGTCAGCCAGGGATAAAGTTCGAAGTCTGTGTGAAACAGTAGACTGTTGTCAGTAAATTCTGTCTTACCATCAATGGCACTTTTTTTTTTTACATTTGTATATGGGGGATATGGATAGAGGCTGCTACTAGCGACGGTCTTACCAAGCGCCAGGTTTACCACTGAGGAAGAGAATTGCAAAAAATATTAATTTATCAAATGACATTTTATAAAGATAAAAAAGATGAAAATATGGAGCATGGATCGATCTAAATAGATTTATAAGTATATGGACAGTACACGTTTTTAAAGAGGGCATTAAGCACAGTCCTTTAAAAATTCCAGAAGTTGGAATGAGTGACTATGAGGAGTAAGCATCCCTTATTTGGAAAGCAGTGTAATCATTTCTGTTCTGCTTCATCATTGTCACCATCCGTGATAATATTAAGTTTGGAGTGTGAACACTTAGATACACTAGTAATATATTTGATGATGATAGGGACGCTATATATCTATTCACTAATAATATATTTAATGTTTTTAGTTCTCCTGCCAAACAACTGAGCTTGTTTTTTTAAAGCAGGCAAGAACAAGTAACATCATGTAAAGTTGAAATGTGCAATTTATGACAGTAAATGACGCAAAAAGTAAAATACAGTTAACAAAGGGGAGTTGGTCAGAAAAAGGAACTCAAATATAGAGGTATACAAATCTTAGATAAAATATTGATCATTCTGGTCCCTAGCACCTTTATCACATTATTACGTGGTGTACATAGGCAAAAAGGAGTCAACAAGACTTGGATTAGAATTCAAACCCTGTAATCTTTTAAAAGTACACTATACATGTTTTTCAAGTTGATTCCAATATGAACATCATTAGATTAAAAAAAAAACATGATTTATACAAATATCCAAAACTGCTGCCAGTCTTCAAAAAGGTTGGTAAAACTAAATAACAAACAACAAAAAAGTGGATGAAGGATATGGAGATGAAAAACAGTATTTAATATCAAAGTCCACAAAACATACAAAATAGGAGCAGAGCAAACACGGACTTTCGAAACATCAGAGGAGGGATCAGGTGCCATGGAGGAGTGAGCATCCCCTACTGACCGGTCACATCCGCCGTGTGCTCCTTGTCATGATCGGGAAATAACGGAAAAATCTGTCGTCAATTCAATACATAAATTATGGACTAATATGTACAATTAGTATGAAAAACGTCATTTTATAAATATCTAAAACTGACATATGATTGTGAAAAATTTCTTCCTTATAAAGAAAACTATGAGTATAAGTCGGATTACCACTTTTGGAATTAAAACCAAGTTCTTCTACAATACAATTTATATAGTGAGTCTTACAAACAAAGACAATGTTGTTACCTGTTTTGTCAGCAGGCACCACTACGTACTGATCATGTAATCTTATTCTTTTTTCACTTCTGGATTATTGAATACAGGAGGAAAAACGGTTTTCATATTGCCCCTCGATCCATATATACAGAATTTAAACATGAATCTGATACATTTAATCCATACTGACATTAAAAAATTACCTAAAGTATCAAATATTGAAAAAATATAATAAAAGGAGAGGGAGGAAAAAAGTGAGTTTATAGAATAATCATAAATACATGTATATCATATAAAAAGATTTAATTTGTTCATAATCAAACACAGACTTAGGATCAGTTGTGGTTGAATGAAGATCACGTCATGGCATCAAAGGTAGGATCATATGCATTGCTACTAAACATTCTCCTGCCAAGAAATCGAATCGCCACAAACCAATTTTTTCCCTCAAACTTCGAAAATATGTGCTTTTACAGCATATGCGTATGCCTGATTGCCTTTGACTCGTTCTGTAAAAGACGAAGAAACGCAGGACAGGAAACCAGACAGGTTTAGCTTATGTGGTGCTGACACTGACAAATTTGGTTTGTAGTAGAAAAATGCGGATGACCTTTATTCATTTTCTGTTAAAAATGTTTTCAACAAATTGCAGGATGTTCTTTTTGCACTGAACAAAAATCCAACGCAGATGGAATTTCTTTCTTTAAGGCATTCGGCAGAACAATTTGTAGAAGTTGGAGCGATCATATTATTAAAATGAAATGAAGAACTGTTTGCAGTTCCATTACATATGAAGGCCTTTTAGAACAAGGCGTTGCACGCAAAATTAAAATCTTTTGCAAAGCTAACCTGCAAAAGGAAGACAACACAAAGAAAATGTTTTATTCGGTGTACCATTTTCACATTTTTGAAGCAGGTAGATTTTTTGCAACTTCTTTTTATTCCTAGTGATTAGTTACATCGATCAAATTCTATTGAGTATTTGATTCAGTGATTTTAATGTGTGTGAATGCTTAGGACATTGCAAATTGTCCCTTTATTGCAAAGAATTGACTGCAGGGGTTTCCTTTCATGACTGACAATTTGAAGATTTTTGATCCCATTAGAAGCTATGATTAGTTTTTGTACTTAAGTGCCTTAAGCTTCTGAGACTTTTTTTCTGATTCCATACAAGATTGCAAATTATTTTTAAATGTTCAATGAGTCTTAGAGCAATGTGTCAATAACCTACAGGGATTGGCAACATCTGATTAAAATATTATCATAATTAAAGCGTTTTTTTTTAAAATATAAAATAGGTCAACGTAAATGTTTTACATAACCCGAAAAAAAACTTTTGAATTCTTTACGTTGGAGAAAACTAATGGATATATTAATATCAGAGATTAACAAATGTTCATAAAATTTCGGGTTTATCCTACGTAACAGGCTCAGTAATAGCGTTGAAAGTCATACATTTTCAAGAAAACAGTATAAATATATCAGTGGGACAGCCATAGGTATCTTTAAAACTCATAATAATTACATATTCTTATATAATTTATAAATTACTTTAACAAGTAAATTGGTTGCTCGAAATGCTACTAAAAAAAATTAAACCAATGAAAAAAAAATGAAGTGATCACTTTTCATATCTTTTAAAGAATTGAGAATTACTTGAAACTAGTTTTGTCAACGAGTACCCGGCTAACCGATTAACCGTCGAACGATTGTTAATAAATACTACTGTATATACTAACTTATTTTCCTATTTTTAGGTACCGTTAGACATGATCTAGTGGTTCTAGTGGATCAAATTCTTTTGATTAGCTTCCGCAATTTATATAGGAGTAATCAATAGCTTTGATTGATGGGGGAATACAACTTTTAAAGGGCTATAAATGCCTAATTTAATAATTTGATGAGATGCCCCCGCAGACATATTAAGCTTGGTGTATTATTGAAAGAACAGCTGATTCAAAATCTGCTACATCACCTTAACTTAAAATATTGTTCGGAAACCAGCGATTTACTGGATACGATAATCCACAAACAAGTAATTACGGAGTAAATAAATAATTATTCTTTTTAATTGCGACATATTTTCCGGGGACAGAAAAAGAAAATATAACGAAAGTCATTGTTAAATGTTGATTGACGAGTATCTTCTTCGTGTGTCAAATTTTTCTTATTTTTTAAAAAATCTTAAATCAGAATTCATTGACAAAATCGTAAGTGCGTTTTGTAAATAATGTTCATATACAGTATATTTTTGTTATTACTTTTACCGATGATCATGAGTAAAGAATAAGATAAATAGAAGATATGGATTTTTTTTTTTCGAAAAATCATGTACCGGTGTTGTAGAGTAGGATTTCGCCCTAGCCAGCTTTTCCCCCGGAAATCGTACTCTACAGTTAAATTTCCCCCCGACATAAATTTCACACTAAAGCCAAATTTTCCCCCTCTTTTCTTCTCAGAGTAGGATTTCCCCACTTGTCTAGAGTCAATATAAACCACAGCCATAATATTTTTGTGGAAAAAAAGTAAAAAAAAAACCTGATTTTTAAAAGGTAAATGAGTGTATTTTCGACTATTTTGTAAGAATTTTCTAAGCATATATTTTAAATCATGAATTCTCAACCAAAATATATAGTTTTCAAAAGATTTCTCAAAGATGAAACAAACAAAAATTTATGTCTGGATTGGTATATATTTTTGGACCTATTTTGGTTGTAAATGATTTTAAACTTTTTAAAATATTAACTCTAAAGATAAATTATTATACATAAACTATATATAAACGATCTAAGTTTTGTATGGGAAAAGTAAGCTGAGGGAAAATAATATAAAGTTGAAGTATATCATTGAGGGAGTTACCAAGATTCACGTTCCCCTCGAACAAGACTGTTCTGGCCTTGGGGAACTGGAATCTTGCTAACTCCCTCAATGATATACTTTAACTGTATATACTTGTCAGAAATTACATTCGAGTTTTTCATTCGAATACCTGGTTTAGATCACGTGGTTCTCTAGATTGGCCTTGTTAGCAAGGCTATATGAGATGAATAAGTGCTTCAGTACTAGGTAGGAATGGCACATTAAAGGGCTAGATTGTTGAGGCGATTTTCGTGTTGTGGACTTTTTGGTCTCCTTTAGAAAAAGAGCCCCATATAAAGATTTACAAAAATCATCAAAATTTAAAATGTGTGATTTTTTTCTTTGCCACATGATAGTTGACAGATTAAGATATCATAGCTGAAAAATTAAGCTATATCTGATGGTTAATTTGCTGACCCCCTAGCCTCCTTAAACACAAGATAGTCAAAAGAACTATATGCGGTGTATTGCATTACTTTGCCCCAACAAAAGTCAAATTTAAAAAAATTCTTAAAATGTGTTGAATTTTATAAATTTTATGAGAAATATAAACTAGAAAGTCCGCTATTGCAAGCGAAAGCATATGTCGCCCCGAACTGGACAAGACTTTCATTTTTTCACCACTAAAACAATACCCATTAGCTAAGCTTGGACAACCATCAACTCGTATCAGTCCTTTCGGTACTTTGATTTAAAAATCAAAGTTAAAGAAATTTCACTTTTCCCCTGTTTCCATGGCAACTATTGACAATTTGCAATTTTTAAATGCAACACACACAATTACAGATACTAATGATTATATCAACAAATTTTCCTGACGAATGTCCAAGGGACCAAAAAGAACACTTTCGGGCAAAATTCGTCATTTTTTTGCAGGTTTCCATGGCAACGGTAGCCATTTTGAAACTGAATGACCATACAACACATGTACAACTACAACCAGTGATCGTCCTTTGAGGAAAGTTT